GTAGGTTTAGGGTTAGGTTTAGGGTTAGGTTTAGGGTTAGGTTTACGGTTACGTTTAGGGTTAGGGTTACGTTTAGGGTTAGGGTTAGCGTTGCGTTTAGGGTTAGGGTTAGGGTTACGTTTAGGGTTAGGGTTACTTTTAGGGTTAGGGTTAGGGTTAGGGTTAGTTTTAGGGTTAGGGTTAGGGTTAGGGTTAGTTTTACAGCACGCTTCTGTCACTGCGCTGTTGTCGGCGCGATTCAGCGCTCATTCGTCAGTGCGCTTTAGAACTCGTGGTTTTGTCACCGTGGTTTAGTCGGGTGCGGTTTTGTCGTTCGCCCTTTTGTCGGTGAACCGCTGGGAATACTTTCCTCCTCAACATATGTTAGTATACCAGCTTTGTCTGTTTATGGAAAGGAATGATCTATGTATTATCAGCCTTGCCCTATTTATGGTCAGATACCACACATTCATCTTTAAAATGGATTTTCACTGCAATGACACAGTGCCTTTGAAAAAGATTTGGAGGTATCCAAACTCCTGTAGGGAAAATTTCGTTGGGCATAAGGATACACACATATCCACTTTTTCTTCATCCACAAATCAGATAACCAGTGGTGAGATCCTGCCGGTTTAACAACCGGTTTCATGATTGCGTGTTTTGTGTTGAGCGCACGAGCGCAGTTTTACCGAAATTTATCTTTCATGTTACTTCTTGGGGAGTAACACAGCTGAGATCGTGGCAATCTGCTCTGCCACGCTAATCAGCTGAGAGGATATAGGTAAGTAAAGCGCAAGGGCTGGTGGGTAGGTGGGTGAGTGGGCCAACCTGATCATTGGAGTGAACTAGTTCGCTCTCAGCTGATCATCGGAGCTACCGGTTTGCCTGAATCGGTCCAAACCGGCTGAATCCCACCTCTGCAGATAACGGTTGAGAAAATTCAAAGGGAAGAATTTACGAAAGGTGGTTTTTGACTAGGAATCTTAACTATTAACTTAGTGGATCTGATTTGATTCTAAATCCAGTTCTAAATTCTGAAACTAACCCCTGGTGCTGAATTATTGCTTCAGTAAAATTGTATCGAAGACTGCTAACTTCCCTTTAAACTTTCCCAGGCCTCTGAAGAATTCTGGGGACCTTGTTTCATCTATCTCCATCACCTCTGGGAAACCGTGAAATTATGGAAATATTATTTCTAGGGAAACTGATTTCTTCATTTACAATGTAAAGGATGGTCCTGACAATTATAGACCAATTAGCCTCCTCAACATAAACAGCAAACTTTATGCAAGACACTAGAATGGAAACTCCAGTACTGGCTGAAAGAGAGAAGCAATTTGTCTTTAGGGAAGACCAATCTACCATTGATCAATAGTAGATTGGCCTAGTATTCGATCATCTCATTGAAAAATGCTTCTCCTTCAGCACAGCTTCCCTACATGCTGCTTTCATAGACTTCATAGACTTCAAAGCAACTTTTGATTCTATATCCCAAGCTAAATTGTGGGAAAAACTAGAAGCCTCCTTCTGATCAACATCTACTTCATTTAATAGGTGTGCTACATGAAGGGACTTCACTCAAAATAAGATGTAACTCCTGGGACAATCTCACCAGAGCCGTTGGAACTGAGTAAGGCATAAAACAAGGCTTTATACTGACCCCAGTGTTATTCAGTTTCTGTATTAACTTCATGGTGGGCCATCATCTCAACATGAAATTTCATACATACCCAAACCCACACTCAGAAGTTACTGGAAGACATACATCTCATGCATACATTTTACTCTATAAAGACAAATGTAGCAATATTTTCAAAAGCATCCATTGGCCTTAAAAGAACCTTGACAACACAGTAGTGCAAGGAGGCCAACTGGTGCTCAAATATCAGAAAACCAAAATCGTGACATTTGCCAAAAAGCCCAAGAACCACTCCTGGAGGATTGATGGCTACCAGGTTGAGCAGGTCTCCTGGAGATAGTCCTTCATTCTGCCAAGCATAGGGAACGCCATGGAGAATACACTGCTGAAAATGCCATCCTCAAATTACTTGAGAGTTGGCTACTATAGACTTGCCGCACTCAAACTATTTGAAGCTAAGCCAATAACACAACTACTTTATGGTGCTTCTGATCCCCTTCCTGAATTTTGCATCAATAGAACTTGTTCAATCTAAATTTCTAAGATCAGCCACTCAAAGAGCCGCTTAAAGAGCCGAGGTGGCGCAGTGGTTAAATGCAGCACTGCAGGCTACTTCAGCTGACTGCAGTTCTACAGTTCGGCTGTTCAAATCTCACCGGC